AGAACAACTTCTCAATGATCTTTCCCCGGATTTCTAGAGCTCTAGCTCTACTTTCTTCTCTTCCTTATTTTATAATTTTTAATGCTTTCGCTATGTACTCCGCCTTTTCCCTTAATTAATTAATAAAAATCTTTATGATTTTTGTTGTTAACAATCTTTTTGTTAATGTCAAAAGGGGGAAGATAATGGCTATGCATATTTTCAGGGGGAATTTTATTAAGGGGGAATTTTGTTTCAAAAAGATCAAAACCCTATGCATATCCCCGTCTTGTTTGCCATTATCAAAAAGGGGGAAATTGTTGGAACACACTTTGCACGTTAAACTAAAGTCGTGTTCATTTCTGACAGGTTTTGATAATTGCCAAACCGCCGTGGATATGAAGAGTTTCGTTGAATAACTCAAGGAGTGAAGAATGGCTTGGAACAAGACCTAAAAGATCAAGAATTGAAGACTTAGTCGAGTCGGTCTTTTGTGATCAAAACCGACAATTTATTCAAGTCTCGGTTCTCAAAAAGTCAAAACAATTTTTGCAAACCATAAAAAATTTTTTGTGCATCAAAACAAACATTTTTTTGATGACTTCTTTTATCCCTGGTCCTTGCTCAGAACCAAAACCACCTAAGTCGGCGTTCGTCTTTCGGCGTTCGGTTTTTTTGGCGCCCGAACCAACTCCGTGGTTTTCAATATTTTAAACCCTGTTTTTATCTCTGAGCATATTTTAAAGGTTCCCGAATAATTATTTTGTAAAAACCACCTTTGTATCTTGGTCAATCGGTCTAACACGTGAAAAACGGTCAAAACCGTACGCACGTGATTTACGATCTTGAGGACTTGGTTTTTACCAAACAAGTCTTGTTTTCACTATTTTATACCATATACAATGTTTTTCAAACTTGGTTTTTACTTTTGGAAACGCTTCGTTTTTGGACCTCGGTTTTTCAAAACGGGTTTCAGCTGGCTAGACTTTAGCTGGGTGATAATCGATTATCACCTTAGTGACAATCGACTATCAGCCACTGCAGCTTTGAACTTCCAAGTTCTGAAGCACTAAGTAATCGATTATCAGATTTGCAATAATCGATTATCAGCCTTGCAGCCAAAACCCAGAATCTTCAGAGAGGACCAATAATCGATTATCACTTGTTGACAATCGATTATCTGGGTTACCGTTGTTCTCCAACGGATAGAATTTTAAATTTTTGGACAGGGAATCTTTGGATAATCGATTATCATGGTTTGACAATCGACTATCAGCCTGTGTCCCTGAAAAATTTGTCTTCATCCTGTTGGAAATTCTAGCAACGGGTTTATCCCATTTTGGGCTATAAAAGGGCATCCAAATCCTCTCTTTTAACACACAATTCTTCAACATTTCAATACTCATTCATTGCAAGAGCATTTCTACTTTTCTTAGCTATTTGAGAGCCAATTCTTGAAGAAATTGTCGTGTTCTTGAGCGTTTACTAGTTCACTCATATCTACTCTTGTGAGAGTTTTATTCCTGAGTGTTTAAGTGTTTTCATACACTTTAAGGGAGTTTGTTCCCTTGTTGTAAACTCGAAGGAAGTTCTTTGTTCCTTCGTGAGAAGTCTTGGAGTGTGGTATCTCCGAGCAAAGGTGTTGAGGCTCGTGTCACTCGGGTTCTCAAGTTGTATCGGTTTGTTAAGCACCCTTAAGCTTAACGGAGTTAGTGTAGCTCGAGAGAGTCTCTCGGGGGGCTGGATTAGCCACACGTTGTGGTGAACCCCCCTCTAGCGTTGGGCCTTTATTCTAACATTCGAGACATCTATTTTTACGTTCCACCACTCCATTTTGTTGTGGTGTACGTGGGGCTGAGAAGTTATGATCAATGCCAAGTTCGTCACACAAATCTGAAAACAGATTTCGTTCGAACTCTCCCCGATGGTCGCTTCTTATGGCTACTATTGTTGTTTCTTTTTCATTTTGAACTTTCTTTAGAAAATTTTTGAAAACATGAAATGCAAAGTAGTCATCGACAATCACAAACGCAAAGTAATTTCCACCAAAACTTTTCGTTCTAGAATGACCAAAAAGATCCATGTGCAAAAGTTGAATCGGTCTAGACGTTGAAACAACGTTCTTAGACTTAAACGAAGCCCGAACTTGCTTCCCCTTTTTACATGCATCACATATGGCGTCTTTTTCAAACTTAAGTTTTGGAATGCCAATTACTAAGTCATGTGAAACTAATTTGTTCAAAAGGTTAATGTTCATATGAGCTACCCTTCGGTGCCATAACCAAGTGTCTTCCTCTTTACTCATGAGGCACTTAGCAAAGTCGGAAGGAGATTTGTCTAAGTTAACCATATAAATGTTATCGATTCTATCACCACGTAGAATGACCTTATTGTCGCTAAGGCGTTCTACCATGCATGATTTTGAATCAAAAGTCACACGGTTTCCCTTGTCACATAATTGACTTATGCTCAAGAGATTGTGTTTGAGACCTTTAACAAGCAAGACATTATCTATAGAGGAGTTTTCAGATTTACCTACTGAACCAACACCGATAATTTTTCCCTTGCTATTGTCTCCAAAAACTACGTTTCCTCCTTTAGCGGGTTTGATTTGGAGAAACTTGGATGCATCCCCGGTCATGTGTTTGGAGCATCCACTATCAAGGTACCAAAGTACACTTGATGCCTTCAAGCATACCTATGAAACACATCAATGAGTTTTAGGTACCCAATTTACGTTGGGTCCTCAGGTGTTAGGTGTGTAATGGTAGTGTGCTTGATTTTGTGATAAGTGCATATGCCTAGTGTAACAAACGGGAGCAATATGGGCTATCCTATTACAATAATGGCAAACTACATTGGGGTTGTACATGTGCCTAGGTTCATAATAGTTAGAAGGTTTAACCATTTTGTTTCTATTTTGTGAAAATGGTGGTTTTTGGAAATTTTGAAATTGGCCTCTTCTAGGTGCTCTAGCATTATTTCTTCTTATTTGAGAAAATTCATTTTTATGCACAAAATCATTTTTCTTAGGTTGTCTACTATGACCATTTTCATTCCTAGGTTTTAGTCTAGGTTGTCTAGTGTCCTTCGGTTGACTAGGTTTCTATTCCTTCCTTAGAAAAATGCATAGTGTCAAGAAGTAAATTTAAGTCTTTGTGAGGAGTATTAAATTTCTTGACCGTGCTCTCAAGTTTAGCGACTTGCTCTTTTAATGTTTTACAAGACCCACATTTACTCGATGAGCTTTCTGGTTTGTCAGCGCTTCTTTTTCCAAAAAACTTGTTTTCTTATTTAAGTATTTCATTTTCTTTTTCCAATTTTTCAAAATCGTTTTCAAGTAAAGAAAGTCGTTTCTTCAGGGATTTATTTGTTTTAGAAGCGCTAACGAATTCCTCATAAAGTTCATGTAGTGCTTCTTGCATTTCTTCAAAAGTGTAAGAGTCGGAAGAAATATTACATACCTCTTGGACGTCGTCGCTTTGATCTTTGTGCGCCATGAGGCAGAGATTTGCAGCTTCGTCCTCCTCTTGGTCGGTTGATTCGTCGCCGGAATCGCCACCCCAAGAGATGTAGGCCCTTTGCTTCTTGAAGCCAGGCTTATTCTTGCCGTGTTTGGCCTTTGGACACCTTGACTTGATGTGGCCAATCTCGCCACAGCCGTAGCACTTGGGAGGACCGTCGTGCTTCCTTCCCTTCCGCTCAAATTCCTTCTTCATGAACTTGTGGAACTTCTTGATGACGAGCCCGAATTCATTGTCGTCATCGCTTGAAGCCTCTTCCACCGGTTCCTTGGTGGCTTTGAGAGCTATCCCCTTTTTCTTTTGTTCATCCAAAGACGGGGTTAGAATAGTAGATTCATAGGTTTTAAGGTTACCTCTTAGCCCGTCGATGGTGACGTTGGAGACTCCAATGGATTCATAGATTGCATCGGCTTTTGACCTCCATTNTTGCCGTGTTTGGCCTTTGGACACCTTGGCTTGATGTGGCCAATCTCGCCACAGCCGTAGCACTTGGGAGGACCGTCGTGCTTCCTTCCCTTCCGCTCAAATTCCTTCTTCATGAACTTGTGGAACTTCTTGATGACGAGCCCGAATTCATTGTCGTCATCGCTTGAAGCCTCTTCCACCGGTTCCTTGGTGGCTTTGAGAGCTATCCCCTTTTTCTTTTGTTCATCCAAAGACGGGGTTAGAATAGTAGATTCATAGGTTTTAAGGTTACCTCTTAGCCCGTCGATGGTGACGTTGGAGACTCCAATGGATTTATAGATTGCATCGGCTTTTGACCTCCATTCGGGTGTGAGGCTTCGCAGGATTTTCCTCACGAGATCCTTGTTGGTGTAAGTCTTTTTGAGAGCATGAAGGTCGTTGATGATCTTTGAAAAACGGTCGAACATGTCATCAATTTTCTCACCTTCTTTCATCCGGAACATTTCGTACTCTTGGGTGAGAAAATCGATCTTGGCTTCGCGAACTTGATTGGTACCTTCGTACGTCACTTCAAGCTTGTCCCACATCTCCTTGGCGGTTGTGCAACAGGAGATCTTTCGGTAATCATCGGGGTTGACCGCGCAATATAGCATATTGATGGCCTTTGCATAGTTTTCAATCTTCTTGATGACCTCGGCATCAAATTCGTTTTCGGTCTTTGGGACCGTGGTTTCTCCCACTTTCTTCATAGGGATTTCCTCGTCATTTTTGATCACCAACCACAATTGGAAGTTGGTGGAACGAATGTAGATTCTCATCTGTTCATTCCAATAAGAGTAGTTGGTGCCATCAAAAAGTGGTGGCCTAGAAGTTGATTGACCTTCTCCAATTCCTGCATAGAGATTTCTAGAAGAAGAGCCCATGATCGCTTTAATCTAAAACGGTTAAGTTTGGACGCGAGTTAGGCTCCGATACCAATTGTTAGAATAAGAGACTAACGCTAGAGGGGGGTGAATAGCGTTTGATCAAAAATTGCAGGAATAAAAATGATGAATAAACGAGAAGTAAAGAGAAGAGTAAGAGGCACACCGATTTTACCCTGGTTCACCACAACTTGTGGCTAATCCAGCCTCCCGAGAGACTCTCTCGAGCTACACTACTACCTCGTTAAGCTTAACGGTGCTTAACAAACCCGTACAACTTGAGAATTCGAGTCACACAAACCTCAACGAACCTTCGAAGGAAACAGCCCTTCCTTCGAACAACAAGAGAAATATCTTCTCTTGTCAAGTGTTTAAGAACACTAAAAACACTCAAGAACAATACTCTCTTTTAGAGTGGATAATGAGTAAACTAAGAACGCTCAAGAACACAACACAAGCTTCACAAAAAATGGTTCTCAAAAGCTATGAATAATTGAAGAATGATTTGCAATGAAAGAGTAGGAGTTGTGAAGTAATGTAATGTGTAAAACAGATCCAAACACCCCATTTTATAGTAGAAAAATAGGCTCTAACGGACCAAAGTATTTAAGGGGTGATTGGCACAATTTGTGGGATTTGATGAAAATTGGATCTGTTGAAATTCACCCAGACAGCGCTGTCCTAGGCTTGGACATCACTGTTCTAGGCTTGCGTTTTGAAAAATGGGAAGCAACGGTCATGCCAACAGCGATGTCTAAAATCCCTACATCGCTGTTTTGGCTGTTGACTTCCAAACAAGGAAAGTTTTAGCCTTAAATTCCTTCCAACGGTCAGGTCTCTACTGTAACACCCCAATCCGTAAAACCCGGAATTACACGAACTAAGGTGAAACGAGAGTAAAATAAAAATTTCACTTGACATTTGAAAATGACAGAGTATGGTTTTTGAAGATCGGTATCATAAAACATCTTCTTGGGTTTGAGGGAGAGTCATGAGTTACAACAAGTTCTTCAATGATTTGATACAGAAAATGGAATTCAATCTTTTCAAGATTGATCAAGTGAGATGCTTCAAGTGTGTAATTAACACAGCAAGTCTTAGTATTTCAAGGATGCGAGTCACAAAATACAAAGATAACATTTGCGAATTACCACTCAATGTTTCGCCCTTTGGACTAGTGATAATTACTTTTCCATCAATGGTCCAGTTTCAGAGTCTATATATACCAAATTGTGGCAAGAGCGTCTCACATTCTCACATTATGGAAGGAACTTCTCGAGCTCTTTCTAATACCATAAAATTCGTTGGTCTACTTGGTAGTCATGCTCTTGGTAGCAATCCAAGGTTTATGGCTACAGCGGTTGATCTAGGACGTGAATTGGTAAGGCGAAAAATCAGGCTTACCTACGGAGGAGGCAACATTGGCCTTAAAGGAGCTGTAGCTTCAACAGTCTATAATAATGGTGGTAGAGTCAGAGGTTTCATACCAGGGTATATAGCAACACGAGGGGTCTATGGACCAACATATGGTGCGGAGTACACCGTCTCCAGCAATTACTATAAGTATTTCGAGATGAATCATATTGTGGAAGCCTTCATTGTACTTCCTGGAGGGATTGACACTATCGAACGTTTGTTCACCTTAATCTCATGGGCATCTGAAGGGTTGCACAGCAGACCTATTGGTCTCTTAAACATTGACGGTTATTTCAATAACCTAATCAAGTTTCTAGATGATGCGGTGAGGCAGAACTTCATGGCTTTGAATCAGAGGAAACTGTTCATTTCTTCTTTCTTTGTTGATGAGCTTTTGGACAAGCTAGAGTTTGCTAAGCCTTTCCCAGGTCCTGGTGCTAGTTATGAAGAGTTTGCAAATCCTGGAAGATTAGACTTAGAGTTGCATCTGTAATATTTCCAAGTTGAAATAATATTGTCCATGTACATTATGCGTTAGTCACAAATATCGTTCTAAGCTGCATGGCCAGTGCATTTCAGAAGAATATCTATTTCCAACATCAAAATGTACCATGTAAATACTAATCCTTTTCTTTATCTTCCAGTCTTTCACTGTTGGTGTGACTGTTTCACATCTTGTTTTGTATTGTCATCTTGTTACGACCTTTCACGTCAATAGGGTATACGAACGAGTCAATTATCTTAATGTTTCTATGTAGATTCACTCTAATGTGTTTCAGATTCGATACATATGTCGTATTCGATCTGGTTTTGGAGACTCTGTTCGTGTTCTTAAAAAAAATGACAGATTCACTTTTGGGGAATTTGTTCACTTTCTATCGGAGAAAATTCTTTCTTCAACGTATTCTTCGGTTGATAGAAGTTGATTCACATCGTTCGCCTAGCTACTCGCGTATTACGACATACGAATATGTCGTGCCTAGAGGGCTTACAATCCCTCTTCTCAATCCTTGATGTTGACTGTGATCGTCGAAAAACATTTCGAGGCAATCTAAACATTATTGTAATCGAGTCTATGAGAATACTAGCAACTTAAAGGAAGCAAATTCTCAATGAGTTAAGTATGTGTATTATGCCATAATAACTTACTTATTGATTACCTTCCCGGGGCAGAAATGTCGTGGAGGATGCGGATGCAGGACTTTGAAAATACTGACTCAATGATCTGAAAATCGTTTTGCTCTGATACCAAAATGTAACACCCCAATCCGTAAAACCCGGAATTACACGAACTAAGGTGAAACGAGAGTAAAATAAAAATTTCACTTGACATTTGAAAATGACAATTACTTATAAATATCAAATTTACAGACTCTGGATCGCGACCCATTTAAAAATATTTTTCAGAGTAATGCGGAAGTACAATAATAAACAAATCATGACACATTTAAAAATCTGATGATCAACATTTGCTTGCCATCCTTGCATCTCCTCTGACTCAATGCCCTCCGGGAGTGGTTCCATCATTGTCTTCTTGTTACCTACGTGTAGTCAACGAAAAATACAAACTACACGCTCAGCGAAACCGCTGAGTGGTACCACACTAGAATTGTAGAATGATTCTCAGACATATACATATACATATATATACGTCCACAAAATGTATAGTAACATTCATGATATGACACATATTATCATATGGTCAATTTGATGAATCATGATGATAAATATTTAATGATAATTACTTGATGGCATATTTAATCAATATAATTATTCTTGATGATGATTACATGACACCTATGTAATCAATATAATTGTTCTTGATGATGATTACATGACACCTATGTAATCAATGTACTTGATGATGATAACATGATTTCACATTTAATCAATTTGATTGTTCTCGATGATGATTACATGACACCTATGTAATCAATGTACTTGATGATGATAACATGATTTCACATTTAATCAATTTGATTGTTCTTGATGATGGTAACATGATGCATGATCCTATAACTTGCAAGGACACCCTTGCGCTATGAGATTCGCCCATTTGGTACGACGAACTCACGCGGCCTTAGTCTCACGAATGAGGTGAGACTAGAAAAATAGGGGTGGTACTCGAAACCTAAATACCATGTACGTACATTAAGCCCGGAACGGGTGATGTCGGACTAGTAAGTCCCGCACATCACGCTATAAGAGACGCAATTACGCATGATCTCTTACGCATGCATATGATATGATATGCTACAATATGTGTGATGAAATGAATGATATGGCATGAACAATTTGTAAACAATATGAATATATAATCATGCATTAGTTTATTTGGATGAAACATGATTAAAATATCATTTAATTAAGCTACGGGGCTTGGAACGGCCGACCGTTTGGCGCGACGGTCGACCTTGGTCTTCATCAGGTCGGATTGGCGGATCACCGTGACGGTCGACCGCGGTTGACTGGCGGTCGACCGTTGTTGACTGGAGGTGGACGGCGGCACTTGGCTGGACAGGCGACGGTCGACCGTTTGTCTGACAGTCGGGGTCCATTTCGATGTTTAACGCGACGGTCGACCGTTTGCGTCGACCGTTTGGGTCTGCGAATCTTTCTCTTGATATTTTGAGTGTCCAAAATACTTCTTTAAGTCTTTTAAGCACCTTTGATTAACATATACATATTGTTGGGTTGATTTCCAAAGTTTATATTTACTTATGTGTATATTAACTTTATGGATTTGGTGTATTTTAATCTCAACATATAGATAACTTATATATGCATCACATATATATTTTGGAATGGTTTTAACATATGGAATAACATATATGTTCATGTATGTATGTGATGAATGATTCGACAAGTCTAACGCAAAGGTACAGACCTGGAAATCATCGGCCGAAACCTTACGGATGAGCGGGAGTGAAAACAATATCGAAATTCACCAACTTTGTCATTCCCGTCACAATTGGACAGCCTGCGGTATTTTGAGCATATCTCCATCGTTTCTTCACGGAATCGCTAACCGTTTGATTCTGTGGATTCCTAAGACGTAAGGCTATAACTTTCGTATAGAAAGTATTTCGTTTTAACATATGTAAGATAGCTTAAATCGGACCTGAAGTCACTAGAAAGTTGCTGTCCAGAATTTCGGGTATGTCGATAAACATGATTTCGACGATTAACTCACTAACATCAACATTCCAACGCCGAACTTTCTTTGCAATGCCTTCCGGATGTTCCTAATAATTGTTAGAGAGTTTATGGTAAGTATTTGGGATGAAATAATATGAATTTTGGTGAAGAAAAACATGCCAACCCGAGGAGCTCGCCACCACTGGCGCAGTCCCGGTATTTTGGTCATATCTTCTTCGTTACTTAACGAAATCGCGAGCCGTTTGTTGGGTTGGATTCGTAACGTCCGGGGCTACAACTTTGGTTCAAGAAGTATTTCGAGATAATGGATGGAAAATTTCAGTTTTTACCTTGAAGTTGCTGCTGCGTTTTTGGACTCAAAATTTGGAAACTTTGGATGGGTTTCTTGCTCCTTCTTCTTCTTCCTTAACATACTACCATGGAGTTGGAGTTTTCTTTTCTTCTTCTTGTTGCTGCCGACAGAGAGAGGGAGAGATGGAGAGGAGAAGATGAATGTTGATGATGGTGGATGATGGTGAAGATTATGATGATGATGATGGTAGTGGTAGGGTGATATTATATGGAAAAGGAATTGGAGGTATATGGTAGTGGGGTTGGTTTGATTGAGGATTGGAAGGGATGGGAGTGTCTCTACGTGACTTGGAGGATTTTGGGGAATCAAATATATTTTCTTACTCCGTAACTCATAAACTGACTAAAACGGTACGCGCTTTTTCGCCCAAACTGTTCCGAATTGAAAACAAATTGTATTTTTGGAATCAGACTGTCAAAACTAGAATTTTGACGTAATCAAAATATTTTTCTGAGAACTTTTATTTTTCTTAGTGTCCGGGTCTGTCTCAGTCATAATTTAATATAATAATATGAATGAGATAAAAATATATGAATTAAATCCAAATGATAAATATGATATTGTCAAGTGTCAAAATTATGATTTCTAATCTGATGAAATCACTTTTGAATTTAGTTTATTTTATGGGTCGAAGTTACAAATTTTACTATTTAAAATTGACATAACTTGAAATCTACAAATCAGATTGGTTTATAAAATGTACCGTTGGATTCGTATCTTCGAGACATATCCATAAATATAACTTTTTAACAAAAAGTCATTATTTTGAAAATCCATTTATTTTTAGTCAAACGTACAAATATACCTTATTGGATAAAAACTACTTTTGTTTTATAATAAATTTTAGGCCATATTTTGTGGTGTTACATTTCTTCCCCCCTTAAAGAAATTTCGTCCCCGAAATTTCCTTAGGTGAAGTCAATTAAAATGATGATGTACAAAATCATGAATATTCATTAATATTTTTTTTTAAAAAAACACAAATTTTGAAAAGTTGTTTTCTCTTTCTTTTGTTGAGTGTCATGAGTATGACATTTTCTCTTTTGAGAAAGAATATACGTGGATGATAAATGTAACGTATTTGGATTTCTCTCACGGAGACTTGCGTCGAATATATATCTTTAGACTTGCTCTTTTGTGTTGTAGGAGTTTCAGGAATTCTTATATGGGTTGCGTTTCATGAATGTGGGGTAATTTACAAAATTTCCGTTTCTGAAAATTCTTTGAGAATCATTCTCAGAGTTTGTCTGGAATGTTGGTTTCACAAACTACGCTTCATTGTGTACAATCTGGAATGAATTGTTTCTAGGTTTGATGTTGTTATATAAGGGTATTTTGGAAAATGACTATTACCATAGTCATCATTCTAGGTTTCTTAGATGAATATGTAATTATAGTTTCAAAACTTGAACTTTCATTAGCGATCCTTAATGGAGTTATTCTGACTAACGTAATGTCAACAATCTGATTTCACATGGCCTATGGATGCCTATAACCGTAAACATGCATATCACACTTATGCACAACAATAATATATGTTTTTATCACATTGTAATGATTGGATGAACGTATTGGATAACACTTGTTATTTTGTCACCGTTTGTGTTATCAATATGATATGTAGTCATTCTTGAATACTGATTTTCTTATTGATAATTCCAGAATTGCCTTGGAATTTCCAACTTTCTCAATAATTATGATAGAGTTTCGTGCTCGAAAATTATAATATTAGTGTATTCGTCATATCACTAATATTCATCACACAATAGTTAAATTACTTATTACTAAAAACATGACAAATTATACACATAGTCATATTCTAATATGTTTGGGATTCTATAGACACATGCGTGGTTTCTCTTGGTGGTCCGCCCAATTGACTTAAGTGGAGATCACATTTACCTTCAGTGTGGTCATATTCACCACACAAATGACAACTTTTCCTTTCTCTTTGAGGCGTTTTTGTTGGAGAACTATTTAAATATGCCCAGAAGTAAAAACCAGTCATAAAAAGTTGAAAACCATTTGGTTGGTTGGGACGCCAAAAACCAATGCCGAAAACCGAGAGCCGAATGCCGATTTCTGAAAACCGAACGCCGGATGGCTTGGTTTTTGGTTTGGGCGAACTCCAAGTGTTTTCAGGCAGGTTTAAGACTTAAGAAAACCATTTCTAATATGCAAAAAATATTTTGATGAAATGAGCCTAGAGAGCCATGTTTTGAATGTTTGTGCCGGTCTTGATCACATTAAAACTGACTCAATATAATTCTAAGTCTTCGTTCTTGATTCTTGGTTCTTGGTTCTCAGTTCATCATGCCATGTTCCTTCGCCTTGGTTTTGCTCAGTTTAACCTTGTTATTGTCACGGCGGTTTGGCATTATCAAAACCTGTCATAAAACGAACACGGCTTAGTACGACATAGGCGTAAACCCGTGTTCCAACACTGATCACTCTCTGATATCCATTCCATCTTGGTTTGTTGCCTTCTCATTAGAGTAAGTGCCTTCAACTTAAGATGATACTCTCTGGTGATTGTCTTTTCCTTGGTTATAAGTCCTTCATCCAGTAGGTTATCCTTAAGTTTTTTCTGGGTTTCATGTAATTCTGTCCTCAGGATATCAACCTGTTTATGAATATGCAGGAACTTATCAGTATTTAGCTTCTTCAGGGGGCTTTTAAGTTTCTTATGTTTCTGCATAAGTTGGAACATTTTCCTTCCTTCCTCCTTCTCCTCCCATACTTTCTTTATAATACCTTGGAAATTAGGATCTAAACTCCACATGTCACAATACTTAAACCCATCTTTCTTAATTTGATCAAGGGGAGAGGGTATAAGAATGGGGCAGTGATCTGATATCCCCTCCTCCAGTGTAATCACCTTTCTTCCCATTTCTCTAAACCACTCCATGTTGGCTAGAACTCTGTCCAGTTTGGAGTAGATTCTATGCCCATGTGATTGCTTATTGGACCAGGTGTAAAAGAAGCCACTCGAGGGTACTTCCTCCAAACCACACTGGTCCATACACTCCTTAAAATCCTTTATTTCTTCATAAGTGATGTTGTTACCTCCAATTCTCTCATTTAATCTTAAGACAGAGTTGAAATCTCCCATTATACACCATGCCCCTGTCATGTTTGCAGCATATTTGACTAGAGTAGACCATAAATGTTTCCTGTTACCTTGGTCATTATGACCATAGATGAATGTGATGTGGAGCTTCCTGTTTTGCCTTCTTTCGGTTACCCTGCAGTGGACAGTTTGAGCTGAGGAAGCAATAATATCTATCCCCATTTCCTTTTTATTCCAGACTACCCAGATTCTACCATTAGGATGGTCCAAATTATTTATAAATGAGCCCCATCCATGGAAGATCTTCTGTTCAATCTCCCCTACACGATACTCCTTTATTTTTGTTTCCATTAAGCCTAGGAGCTTAATGTTATACTTATTTATTAATTTCTTCACTTCCTCCTGTTTATTAGGACCATTCAATCCTCTTATATTCCAGCCTCCTATCATTTCAGGAATGGGAGATGACCCTTATAGGGTCCTTTAAAAAGATCTTTATTTAACAGAATGCCATGATACAGAATATTGTTCCTTTCAGTTAGGAGAACTCTCTTAGCAGCCTTCTTTTTATCAACTTCTATAAATCCATCCGAGTGACACATCACCTTCTCTGTAGTAGTCTGACTCACAGGGGTGTCCAGTAGGGTAACCTCTTTCAAGTTTTCATTCTCAATATGATCATCCTTCTTTTCCTCCATGTTAGGCTGTGTACTCTTGGGTCTCCACACCATCTTCGTCTTCTTCTGACCATTTACAGTTTGTTTTCTGCATTCAATTGCCTTATGCCCTAATCCTTTGCAGGAGGAGCAATGAACAGGGCACCATTCATATTTGATATGTTGGGTAATCAGTCTCTCATTCTCATCCTGGAAAATGATAGACTCTGGAAATTCCTGTTTCATCTTGACTGCAACCATCATCCTGGCAAAATCCAACTTAGTTCTTTTTGCTGTTGCCCTGTCTGTTCTAATTGGTTTCCCCAGGAGGCTTCCAAGTCTGCTAAGACCTGACAGACTCCAATATTTGATTTCCAGATCTGGGAACTGGATCCAAATTGAGATATCTTCAAGCTCGTTCAAATCCACTGAGCAACCAGGCTTCCATTTTCTGACACAAACTGGTTTGTTGTCAAAATGGTAAAATTTTTTGTCTATTGCTTCATCTCTTTCATTTTCCTTCTGAAACCTAACCACATACTGTCCAGGTTTAAGGAAATTTATTTCCTCTATCTGATAAGCCTTCCATATTCTCCCAATGTACCCTTCCATCACGGAAAGTGGGGGGTTGGCACCCAACACATATACCAGGGCAGCAGCATCCCAATATGTGCACTCTTCAATAATATCCTCACTTGTCAATTTTGCTATTCTAACCCCATTCAGATTCTCAGCTTCAATAAAAGATAGAGAGCAATCAACAATTTCAGGGTTGCCTACAGCCTCTGCATATGATTTCTTCTCATCCTGTATTTCTCTATTCATCCTCTCTTCGACTTCATCCTCGAGTTGATTTAGGGTTACTTCATCCATATCCTGAGTAGGCTCTGACTGTTTCTGCTCCCCGTCTTGATTAACGAGGTGTGAGTTCGCTTCATCGTTGTTGATGATTTTATCAGAATTTGGTATCATATCTTCGCTGGTCTTATGATTCGCCTTCGGCCTGCCCCTCCTCGCCATGGCTAGAAGAGAGAGAAAGCACCCGTCCTATTCTCTATGATTCATAGTTTTGTTTCATGTTATATGTATTTTTTGTGTTTGAGTTTGTTATTTAAATTATTTTAAGATCATAAAACTCTTACTAAATGTTTTTGTTTTTAGGCATAAGATCTTGTTAATGTAGAATTATATATTGTGAAGGAAATAATGTATATTCGAGACCAATTGCACGAGACATTTTAAATTTAGAACCCGGTGAACATATAAGCCAGAGGGTGTGGCATGATGTGCCGTACGAAGACATTTTTTGAAGTGCGCTAGGTATTTTGGGAGCTTACAAGAGGGGATGGCGTTATTTTTTCATGGGCATGTTGGTGTTATTTTACGAGACTAGGGGTTTTTGATAAGTCCGTTATTTGTGTATATTCTATTATCTTTTGATAAGACTCATTGGCTTAGATTTTAATATTAATTAGAGTTAATTGTGTATTATTCATCAAATATGTGAATTTAGACTAATTTATGATGATGGGTTGATTTTAGGGTCTAAATACAAGTGGAGGGGCAAAATTGCAAGTATCTTTCGATTTAGTGGGGCTAATGCATAACTTTTATAAATGAATTCTTTTTTTCTCGATTAAAAATTTATGAGCCCATCACCGAGGGCCCCCTCAGACCCGGACGGACGGTTATTAAGAAAAGGTAAATTGGACTTTGATTGTAGATTAGTGGCAAAGAGTTGAACCTGTACCTAGTACTTGCAGAGATCCTATGCCTAGCATAGTTGTCTCCCAGCGTAGTTGCCAGGAATCGAACTCGAGTCCCCCTTGACACTTCATGCCTTTGCCAATTGTGCGCGGCCCACCGACCTTTTTCCCCAATTCAGATTAGACGCAAGGGGGAGGCTACGCTACCTGCATCACAGTCGCGATAGGTGACCCGACCCGGATCTTCTTCTTCGACGGTCACCAGCAAGCTCGATAGGTAATTACTGACGACGACTCTCCCTCCATCTCGGCGAGCACAAACAAATCTAAGAAGCATATTCTCCGACTCTAGCACCAGCAAGGATAGATGGAAATAGGGTGACGTCGGGTAGAAATCAGCAACATCGACCTCGCGATCCTTTAGCTCCAACCACCTTCGACGTCCTTCCCTTGCACATTAGACGTCCAGCTCCAACAATGAACCACCTCTGGTGTCTCGACCCACAAACCCGGCTCAAAGAAGAAGTATGAAGTAGATTCAATTTTGGAGCTGAAACGACGTCCTTACCCTTGGTCCCTTCACAATATTAATTCTAAACATTTACGCTTAGTGAAATTTGCAATAAATAGTACTAAAGCATATATCCTTTTCTAATGTAGTACTTAAACTTTTTTATTCTGTAAATAGTACTTGAATAATGTCTAGTGGCGGGAACAATGTCTACTAATGTTGAGCATTTAGTTTGAACAATGTCCAGTGGCGATGAACATTTACTTGAACAATGATCAGTAGATATTGAACAGTGGTACTACATTGGGAAACAAAAACATATGGTACTACACAATGGGAAAGTCACTATGTTTTAGTATTATTTAGGTAAATTCCCCTTACCCTTATGCGAGTTAGGTGTCATTTTAATCCTAATTTCTCCTACTCTGTATTTATACCCCTAGCTCCATTTTATCAAGGGGGCTCCCCCATATCTTCATTTCACGTTCTTAGATTAGGGTTTATTCCTTATTCATATAATATTTTTATTTTGAGAGCTCCAAACCTTAGATTTTACTCTTTAGAATTATATACTTGCTTTTTAATGTAGATTTTATTTTCTTGCATCTCATCTTTGTTTTTATTTATTTTCTAGTCTCTTATTTTATTTTAAGCATCCCTTAGATTTTTTTTCCTCTTATTTAGCATGCTACGCTAGTTGTTCTAGCTTAGGTTAGGTGATGAATTGTTGATTAGTGTTTGTTGTTGATGGATTAGTGTGAAGCATGAGATTTTAGCTTAGGGATGTTTGTGGAGACTGTTCTATTCATTCTTGGATGTCGTTGTTGGCCGCAGTGGTATTCTTGTGTTCCGGAGTAGATTCTAAATCACAGAGGAATTGGTATTTAAAATCCTAGTCGTGAGTCTCCTTCTCAATTCCTACCACAAAAGTGGAGGATACTTGATGAGCTTGTTTGATTTGGTTATAATTCTCTTGAGATAAGCACCATGGAAGTGGGATACTCTCAATGAAATTCTTTCCCGGTGAAATCGAGGTGATTTGCTCGCTTCCTTATTGATTTCCCGTTTTCCTCGATTCTGTTGGCAATCATATTGTTAGTATCAAATCTCTAACCTAGGCTTATTATTCATTTAATTCTTGCATTCCATTTTAGTTGTGCATTGCATTAGTTTAGTTTCCACTTACATATCTGATGGGCCGATATCCAGCGGGCGGCCCAATTGAATCATTTAATAGACTTCGGGTCAAGCGCACAGGAAACACTCAGGCATGGGCCGGCCCATAATGCGAGGCCCGGTCAACTCCAATCCAAAACGGATGGCAGAGCCAGTCTAGAGGAGAAGACAGAGCTGAAATGGCGGAGACGAAGCCGGAAAAAGTGGATCGCGCCATTGACGGGATAGACTCCTTCTGATTATGTATTACCTTAACTATCCAGAATATAGGTATAAATAGAAGAGGCCCGAAAGGGGAAAACTCAAGCTAAATCAAGCTAATAGTACACACCTAATTCTCGAATTCTTGTCCTTAATTCTTTTCTTACGATCCGTTCTTCTGATCAGATCATTTGGTGGATTTATTGTCCATCAAATTGGTGCTCTCGTTGAGAGTTCGAGAATCATACTCAGAGAAAACCTTCCAAGAAGACCATGGTGCAAACCCGTAGCAACGCGAATCTCGTTAACGGAAACCCCCACCAGGGGGAGAACAGCGCCACCAAAGGCCGACACCCTCTGATTAGCCTAACGGAGGCGGAGGCACTCATCCAGAGGGTCGGGATCACAGCGGAGCAGTTCAAGGAGGTGATGGCAGCCTGGACCCCAAACAGCGAGGTTTTGGTGGAGGACGCAACCGGAGAACCCACAGGAGGGAAGGCTGGACCTGCGGGTTCTGGGGGAAAAAAGAAGAAGAAGGTAAGGCGGTCCCAGAAGAAGAAGGCGACCAAGCCCAACGAAAAGGCAAGGATGGAGGAAGAGCTGTCCAGATTGGACGAGGAAGATGAGTCATCCTCCTTCGAACGGGCGTCGGCCATCGATCGGTTGGGAGATCCCGCGTCAAAGAAACCCCGGACCTCGGCGTTCGATCGATTACATGATACTCGGTCAGCCCGCAAAGGCAACCTGAGGGAGAAGCTCAAGGAGAAGAGAGGAGAGTCCTCAGCGACGTCCAAGATTGGCTCAGAAGAGTTGCTCGAAGACAAGGAAGCGATCGAGTTGTGGAGGATGTACGAATGTCTAGAGAAGCAGTTGGATGCCCAAAATCCATACCGCCAGGCGGTTTTCAGCGAGGTAACTCCCTTCTCCAAAAGGATAATGTCTTGTCCTCTCCCGGACAACTTTAAGACCCCACAGGTCAAAGCGTACAACGGGACGACCAATCCCCAGGATCACCTTGCTCGCTTCAGGGCGAACGTGGTTATGTATGCATACCCCGAAGAGATTAAGTGTCGGTGCTTCCTGGCGACGCTGGAGGGGCAAGATTGTGAGTGGTTCCATAAGTTGCCCAAAGGATCGATAGATAAGTGGAGCGACCTGGCCCACAAGTTTTTGGAGCACTTCGCGCCAGGCCGGAGGCAAAAGCTCCCATTCTCGCATCTGCTTAATGTGAAAATCCGGAAGGGGGAGCAACTCCGAGAATTTATCAATAGGTGGGAGAAGGAAGCTAGGGACGTCCAAGGGGCGGACGACCAGGCCCTGATCGCCATGCTCCAAGCGGCACTCCCCCAAAGGGGATGTGCGCAAGGAGCTGCGACGAAATCCGCTCTCGACCTATCAGGAGATGCTGGCCAGAGCGAAATACTTGACGTTGAAATAGGAAGATGATGAGCCACCTGTCCGGAAGAAGAAGAAAAGTGGTCCGCCGGTGGCAGAAGGAAAGAAGAGGAAAGACTATGGTAGGGGGCCGAACCCTACCGGATATCAAGCAAACAGACATCCTGTCCACGCGGTACAGTCCTTACCGGCCCCTCCCCGTAGTCGGGAAAGCTATGCATCCAGGACGCACCCAAATACTGCGAGTACCACCGTAACAGCACCCACAACACGTCAGAGTGCGTTATGTTGAAGAAGGAGATGGACCAGCTGATCGCCAGAGGGCCGCCTCCTCAGCCAGAGCGACCAACGTCGGGTAACCGGACCTGGAGGAGGCCGGCGGCCCCTGGCGCAGCGATCACAACAGGGGATGGGTAGGAAGATGGACGGCGGCACCTGGGTAGAGACTGCGACGACCTGGATGAGGAAGAAAGGCAGAACCGCTGACACCTGGGGTGTCGGTTCATTATGGGTGGAAACACCGGAGGGGACTCGGCGTCCTCACGGAAGAAGTGGAAGAATATTGTGCATCTAGCCGAGGTGCAAAGGCCACCGCTACCCAAGCGGAAAAAGAAGGAACCTTTGATTTTCGCAGATGAGGATTATCCACCTGTTCTCATCCCCCACAGGGATGCGCTGGTGATAAAGGTGGAAATCAATAACGTGGTTGTTCACTGCACATTGGTCGATACTGGCAGTTTGGTCAATATTATGTACAGCAGCACCTTTAAGGAGCTGAGGTTGTCCCAGAGCGACCTGAAGCCGATCCGTACACCGCTGTCTGGGTTTACGGAAGACACTATTGAAGCCGAGGGGACCATCAAGGTGAAGGATAAGGTAGGAGATGGCACCCACCGACTCTGGCTCGACGTGGAATTTATGGTAGTGCAGCTTGACTGTGCACACCATTTGATCCTAGGGCGACCAGGTCTGGAGGACTTGGAGTGCGTGATCTCCCCCGTCCACCTGTGCATGAAGTTCAACACCCCCACCGGGGTGGGAGTGGCTAGAGGGAATCAGAGTTTGTCCCGGTCGTGCTATGTTAGGGCAACCAAGAGCCAGGCGAGGATTGATGAGAATGCCAGCACGATCTGTGTCGCCATACAGAAAGAAGAGGGGCGACCCCGATCAGCACTGCAATCCCCTTTGCTTGGTGGGGCATTGATTTAGTTCGCATCTTGCCCAGGGGAGCAAGAAACAACACGTACCTGGTGGTCGCGATTGACTACTTCACCAAATGGGTCGAGGCCGCCCCCGTGCCGACCATCACCGAAGAGCAGATGAGGAAATTTGTGTCCAAACAAATTTTGTGCCATTTTGGGGTGCCCCAGCAGATCATTACTGACATTGGAACCCAGTTCGAGGCTAAGGGGTTCAACGAGATTCTGTAGAGCTGGGGCATAAAACATAGTTACGCTGCGGTTCGGTACCCCGAGACCAATGGGCAGGTTGAGAATACTAACCGCACCATTGTGGATGGCCTGAAGAAGAAAATAATGGAGTGTAAAAGCGCCTGGGTGGAAGAATTTCCCTACATCCTATGGACCTATAGGACTACTTCAAGGAAGGCTACGGGTGAAACTCCGTTCGCGCTTACTTATGGGTTCGAGGCGAGGGCTCTAGCTGAGACCTCGTTGTTAAGTTATAGAGTTGAAACATTTGACGCCCAGGAAAACGAAGAAAACCTAAGGGCGAAGTTACACCTCATTAAGGAGCAGAGAGAAAGGGCGTACATACGGGCAGAGAACTACCGTCGGCAAGTTAAGTCGTACCATGACCAAAGGGTGCGACCAAGGCAGTTCAGAATAGGCGACTGGGTCCCAAGAAAAACGGAGGTCAGTTGGCCGACCGGCGGAGGGAAGTTTGCCAAGAGTTTTGAAGGGCCCTACATCATAAAGGAAATATTGGCCGATGGAACGTTTAGACTACAAACACCAGCGGGAGGCGATGTCTCGCGGGTATGGAATGCTGCCAATCTCATTAGATTCTATCAGTAGATTGTACTCCTACTATGTTTATCCTTTGAGTTTAATAATGTCAGCATTTTGGGCACTTCTCTTCTTGAACTTCATCAAAAAAAAGAGCGACCAAATAAATCGCTAATTAGAGCTACATGGTGATTTGCACTAAGACACCCATGAGGGGATGATGTGCCAAACCCTGTTAGCGACCAAGTCTAAGGGCTATCAAAGAGTGTTTGATCTACGGTCGCCAGGACGACAATGGGACAACACGACTAACGGAAGGGCGACGCCGTGGCGAGAAAGCCTAAGAAACGACTAAGTCTAGAACATAATGTCTTGTGCATCATATTCATTCTCGGTCTTAGGGACGTTGGTTCCCTCGACCTTCTTCATTGGCACGTCCTCACCATTTTTGATAATTCTCCAAAGGAGAAAGTTGGTGGATTGGATGTAAATCCTCATCCGCTCTTTCCAATAGGTGTAGTTTGTTCCGTCAAACAACGGAGGCCTCGTGGTGGATTGCCCTTCACCTAAACCTGCGTATGAACTTTGAGTAGAAGCCATTGATCGTTTCTCTCAAACGGTTAAGTCTTTCAGAGAGTATGGCTCTGATACCAATTGTTAGAAAATAGGCCCAACACTAGAGGGGGGTGAATAGCGTTTAAAACAAAATCGCAGGAAATTAGGAACGAGAGCGATAAAGTAAAGAGCGTAAGGAAGGAGCACACCGAATTTTATCCTGGTTCACCACAACGTGTGGCTAATACAGCCTTT